ACCTCACAGGTGGTCAGGCTCTGGGCTAGAGGGCGAGATGGAGGCCAGGAGAGCCAGCTGTGAGGCCAAGCAGGCTCTGCTCTCCCACTTCTCCTCCCCTGGGGCCCCACCCACTCAGGCTTTCTGCAAGTGTTTTGCTTCCATCAACCCCCTCCTACCCTTAAAATGACCCTAATGAAGGTCATTTTGCAAATAATGTCCAGTTTGCAAATAAGGAAACTGAGCCACAGAATGGGGAAGAGTTGTGCCAAGGGCACACAGCAGGAGGCAGAGCCCTTCTGTGGTCCAGCCAATAGAATGCCTTTCGGAACTCTAGTGTACAAGGGTGTCCTGGCAACAGGTTCACACAGATGCTGATCTGCCAGACACACACTTCAAAGAGCAAGGGCCTAGCCACCCTCTGCAGCTTAACTCATGCCCCAAATGCTAGGTTAGAGGTCCCAGCCAAGGTCTCTATGGAGCCCTGCCTGTGTGCTTCTCTGCCTCCCCACTCCCCAACTTCAATGACCCCAAGGACGTGGGCCAAGTCTGTTTCACATCTCTCACATCCCTAGGGTCCAGCACAGTGCCTGTCACCACTCAGTAATGACCTAAGAATCAATGCACAGACAAGGCAGTTGCATGCAAAAGATCACACAGCTATGGACAGTCAATGTCATCAAATGAACTGGGTCTGGGTGTGAGCTCTTGATGACCATGCCCACTGATTCTCTGGATGCCCCTCCCTTGACCAAGGCTCAAGGCAATGGCATGCCTGGGGCAGCAAAAGCTCAAGAGAGAAGACAGCTGGATGTCTCCTTGGTGCCTTGGGATGCCAAAGTGAAAGCTGTGGCCAATCTAGAGCCCCGTCATTAACCCCCCGGCCCAAGAGCTCCCTGAGTGTGTGGCCAGCCTGACCAGCATCCCTGCCACCTGCACCACTCACCCTTGAGGTCCGGCAGCTCCTGCTTACTGCTATGAGGAACCTCTGTAACCACTTTGCTGCTCAGCCGATTGGCCACCTGCTCCAGGGGCCCAGGGACAGGCAGGCTCTTCTTGGGGAGCGGGGGGGAGCCCAAGTCCATGGCCACCATTGCGTTTTCCTCAGAACCCAGGCCTGTGAGGTTGGGAAGACAGGCTCAGCCCAGGTAAGGTGTGGGCTGTCTACCTCTGCAAGGACTGAGGGCAGGGGCACAGTGGTGGTGGTGGGTGCCTTCTTCCTCATCCTTGGTGCCTGCTCTCACTTTGGGATGCAGCTCACCCCATGAAAGCTGAGGCTCCATCCATAACCCCGAGCACCAATGTGACGCAGGGATGTCGAGGCTGCCAACTGACAGCGGACACTAGGAACAGCTTCCACCTACCAGAACACAGACAGGTCAGGGGACGCAGTGCTAGTCTGAGCCAAGACTCCAATTTTAGCAGATCTCAGAGACAATATCTCTCTGGGCAGAATTTGTGGAAGAGAGCAACTGTCAGTCTTGAGGGGTGAGTAGGTGGCAGTCAGAAGGGGAATTCAGTAAGACAAGGCCAGGGTCAAAGGCCAGAGAGGCAATGCAGAGGCAGGGAGCCCAGGACAGGAAGGAGGCTCCATGGGACTTGTGGGGAATCTCTACCAGACAAGACAGCTGGCGCTGGGGCTGCAGGGATAAGTGGGGACCCCAGGGTGGTCTTATCACAAGCTGAGTCCCACGTTGGGTAATGTAAGAACTAGGAGCCTGGACCAGCAGGGACCTAACTGGAGACAGAAAGAATGGGAATCACAGAACTTTATAGGAAGTTTCTGACGCATCCATCAGATCAGGAAGCTTCTCTGGGTGAAGTGTATATGAAAACAGGGAATCAAAAGTGGGTTTTCATGGTCTAAGTCTTTAGAGAAAGGGGCCTGAGAGGCCTGTTGAGCCCGAGGTTTAGCGTTCGGAGCATGGAGAGAGCTCTGAGGATGAAGGAACTGTGTGTCAGAGGAGCTCAGTGTTATGAGTAGGGGGCCAGGCAGGTCCTTGGCTCAGTTTGAGTCCTACAGAGGCAAGAAGAAGGCAAGCTGAGGTGGGAAGGCACTGGGGCCTGGGACACCGAGGACTTTGGCAAACTATCCGGGTGGAGGGGGCGCGTCTGACAGATGGGGTAGGGACCGTGTCAGAGCTGAAGTGACTTGGAGTGGGTTTCCGCGCGGGAGGGACCGGGACTGTGGCAAGAGACAATCCAGGAGCTCCAAGAGGTTTAGGGGGCATCTGTCAGATGGGGTAAGGGTC